TATTCGCGAAAAAAAATCGAAGTGTATTTACTTGCCATGTTATTTGTGTTTGTGGCGTTTTTTCGAACATTTTTTGATCCTCTGAAAAATTAACGTATTATTTGAATTTTCAAATCTTAAACGTATTTAAACTAGGTAGAAGATAAACTTTATCTTTTTCGGTTTGTTGCTTGGCAAATAAAAAATTCAATGAATTTTCAACGTCATTGCCACCGAAAAGTTTCCGTTTTCAAAAAAAAAATGTTCATTCCAAAGTAAAAAGTTCTCTCTGTCCACAGTTCGATCGATTACCTCATTAGCCACATCAGCGTTGAACTTGAAAATAAAATGAATAAATTAAACCACATTCAACTACTACTACTTCATGTCAAATGAAACCAATTGGGAATTTAAAAAAACGGATAATTTAATGTGAAATTGTTGTTGTGCGTTAAAAAATTACCATCAAGCACTGTAAAGAGTATAAAAAAGTGCCTTTATGTTGATGCGGGAGCTCATTTTTAAAATTCGGTTAAAGCGATCGGGCGGTCCCCGTATGACTCATTTGAAATGCAATAAAAAACAAATCACGATTCGTACACATTTGCTTCAGTAAAAGCTGTCGCTGAAACAGAAGACTGTTTTGCTTTCCATTATACATTATGAGTCAGCGGCTGCTTTGGCAAAGAGCAATTTCAGTTGGAAAAGCGTAAATCGTTGTAGCTGCTGTTGCCATCGTCGCGTAAAAATCGACAAATTCAAGCGTTCACCATGAGTGTTTCTGTTGCACAATGCAATTATTATGCATTTGTGAGCCTTTAGCGTGAATTCAAACGGAGTAAATCACAAGTTGGCCCGATGTGTGTTCTTGGTAAAAACATAGAAAATTATGCGACTGCAAATCGATAAAACTAAATGAATAATAACACGGAATGTTGGAAATTTGTTGTTTTTGATGTTGTTGTTGTTATTTTTATTTTATTTCTTCTTCAACGAAACCATAACAAACAAATAATACTCTTTTGTCATTTCCACGAATAAAAAAAAACTGAAGTTCAAACGGAATGTGTTTTTTTTTTCCTGTGTTAATATTTGATGCGTAAATTAAAAGAGCTACCCCGTTTGTATTGCGTGTTTGAAGCAATAAATTCACTTTATATTTCTCTCTCTTGCTGCCGCGCTCTCGTTTGCATATTTATTTGTCGAAACGGAAAATCTAGTGCAAGCGAAGCCATAAACTATAAACATTCGCAGAGATTGAGTGAGGGCGAAAAAATAACATGAAAACAAACTCACCAAAGTTAAATTTAATTGTTTTTATTTGGTGTGCCAATTTGGTATGCTAAAAAAACGGTGTTATTTTTTGACAAGGGGAGCCAAGCAGTGATTATGTGGTTTGAAAAGTGAAAAATAAAAAAAAAATCATTTGAACCCGTTTAAATCACATTAAAGGCAGTTAAAGCCCTTTTCTACCCACCCAAAAAAAACCAAAGCACATTAGGCGTTTATTTCTTTCGCTTTATTGTCACAAAAGTACCAATACCACACAGCACCACCGAATTCCAGTGTGGAAGAAAAACACAGCCTATATTTTCGGCGAATATCAGTAGCCTTATCATTTTGTCTCTCTGAGCTAAGGAGCACAAAGTTTTTTGTTGATAATACTTGAGAATGGAAGGGGATGTAAGGAAGCGAACAAGCGAAAACACAATAATCTTTATGCGGTAAAGGTATTAGAGATTTGTATTGGCAATAAAGCAAACAACGGGTTGCCTAGTGCGTTCGTTGCTAACGGACAACAATAATTCCCATCATTTTTATTGTTTAGAAAATTGCTCGAAATCCTTTCCGCACTTATATTTTACTTTCTCTCTTGTCGTGCTTTCGCCTTCGTTGATATAACATATCGATTTTTGTGTGTTTGTGTGAACAATATGAGCTGCTTTTTTGTTTAATATCATGCCATGTTCTCTTATGTGGTCGAAATCATTCCAAGATGATTACCAAGAGTAAATGTTTTTTTTTTTTGTTGTTGCTGAAATGTTGCTAGCAAAATTGTCAGATAATTCATCTTTTTGTTATTCGCTTCCCTTTCATTTGCAACAAAACAAATGTGGCCAATTGTGTAAGCTTGTGTGGCATTGAACGTATTTTATCATTTAATATTCGCCGATGAAAGACAAATTGTGTGCTCGTGACAAATGTGATGATGTATTGTTAACAGCCAACTGCTGATTCAGTACTTTTCATTATGTCTCTCGTGCCATTGAAAATCGAGCGAAAAGGGCTCTTCGTTTGACCAAGATATTGAAATAAAATGCCGAAGATTTTACTTCATTTTTTTTCTCTCTTTCTATTTCACATTCTCGATTTTATAAATCCGCTCACATTCCAACCGAAATGAATGCTTATGACCTCGTATTATTCATTTTGGGGCTACGTTTCACATAGTATACATTTCTGTTGCTGACTATTCTTCTATACCTTTTTATCGTATAAATCACAATGACCAACGACAGAATCCACAGTGTCCAACGAAGCATACATTGTGCATTGATAGAGAAAACCTTCCAACAAGATTAAGTACATTGAAAAAGTTCAAAAGTTCAAAATAATAATAAATCAATATTGGACGAAGGGCTATGGCTCCTGGTTACTCTCTCTCTCTCTCTTACTCTTCCACTGTCGAACGTCTAGTGCATAAATCCCATGGAATATTGTTTCAAGTTGATGCATTTCCATTTGGATTTGCTGCGATGACGAAAAATTGCATTTTTCACTATGGCAAAACTAGAGCACACATTCTGTAACTTTTGTTTTGTTGCTTGATAATTTCTATCGTATCTATCGATGGAAAAACTTTTTAATTGTATTATTATTATAGATACAATAGAATCGAGACTGATGGGCCAATTATTAAACTCGGTTCGCATTAAACAATTATAAATGTATCCGTGTTTATACTATTGATTTTCCATTGATGCCAATATTTACTCATTTAAAATTCATTTATGCCAATTGTGTACAATTTTCAAAACATCACATATTCATATAGAGGGAGAATATATATGTGGAAAATCAATAAATAGAAAATTTTGTTTGATGTTCGATATTTGAATTGCTGAACTTACAAAAAGTCTGAATAATTCAATGATTTTATAATATAATTGCCATGTTATAGTGCCATACATTCGATGAGTTCGATGTTTTGCACAAAAACCGATTTCAATGCAAATTGATACCTCAGCTGAAAATTGTATCGCAATTAATGTTTTATATTGAGCATAAATTGTAATAAAACACTCTTATCTTTTTATGTAACCGTATAACATTGATCATGTTTCTCTTTTTTCTCGCGCTTTATTGTTATTATATGTATTTTATTACTTGCCAGTTAGTAGTTAGTGTGGTTTATAGAGTATTGAAATTTGTGGACAGTTGATAGGCAGGAACATAGACACATATAACATGCTCGTCGAAATCCGTAAATCTGTGTGAATTGAAGTGACGCGAATAGCGAAAAAAGCGAACATATGAAAATTGAATTTTATCACATTTTCAACCAGAGTATTGCACAGCGCTGCTGCCATCCAGAGCATATTAAAATATCTTGCTGAGAATGCGTCGTCCGTCGCATGCGAAGGTACGTAGCAGTTTATACATCACAGCGAACAACAATACATGCATTGTTCTCTATTCAATCGTTTGAATGTTTTGAATCACTTAATCGTGAAGAGAACAATGGATTCATTCTTGTTCGCTGTGATGTATAAACTGCTACGTACGTTCGCATTCGACGGACGACGCATTCTCAGCAAGATATTTTAATATGCTGTGGATGGCAGCAGCGCTGAGCAATACTCTGTTTTCAACTCGTTTCCCATTCTAGAAGCAAAAAATTAACAAATCGATCGGAAAAAAAGACTGCAACTGTTTTTGATGCAGTTGCAGACGATAAAATCAATAAACGTAATTTTAATTAAAATTCAATTTTAAACGATTTTGCTACGAGTAAAAAACCAACGACAAATAAACGATTTCACAGAGCGAATAAATCCGTAAATTATAAATCTAACGAAAGACTACTTTAAAAAGGTTTAATCTACAATTTAAACAAATCGGCCAGCGAACGTGTGGTATCGCTGGCTAGGACTTTGTCGTCATTCTAAAGTTAATCATCGGTCTAACAATATTTCGTCGTTGGCGTGCTGTGCACGGAGCTGAGGAATCGCCATCGCCCGGTGGTTTTGCGATGGTATTCCAAAAGGCTCCGTTCTCATCAAAAAATAGTAACAATGGAAATAATTCAAAAAATGCCAACAATAAAAAAACCACCAACACCACCACCGTGCCGTCCGTTGCACCAACAGACATCTACGATGATAGCGGCGGATTCGAAACATCCATCATAAATAACAATCTTAGAAATGGTAACACCGGGCGACCATTCAACACAACATCCACTTTATCCTCACTGGTAATTATACTTACTTGAATGTTTGCAATTAGCGAAATTGTTTGAGAAAAAAAACAACACACACAAGAAAAACGAATGCGATATTTTCTCTTGTTTAAATTGATTTTGGATTGCATGTTTTTTGTTTGTCTATTCAGCAATTTTTCCTCTTAAAAATAACTGATTTTTTCGAATAGGGTCGGCGTTAATATCATTGTCTCGTGCAGAAATAAAACTATTGATTGGAATTGTGTTGGTGCACACAATAAGGCAAAATACCGAAAAAAAATTTTCAAGTACAAAAAACAGGAAACAAAAATTCGAAACACTTCCTTGTACAAATACACAATATTTTGTGCTACGATGAAAAAGACGAAGTAGAAAAGCTTCGAACTTTTCAAACAATTGCACTTCGGGGACATGTAATGCAAACTTTTTTTTTCAAACCATCTTCCTCGTCCTAACAATTTTCTATCTCACTCCACCTCGTCGAATCATGCACATTTGGATGGCACAAAACGTTTTTTTTTTTTTTTTTCAAGTCCGCTTTAAGTGTTTGTTCGACTACAAGTTGAAGAATGAGAGTTTCAACTGAAACGAAGACGAAAAAAGTCAACTTGACTTCGTTAGCTTAAATCAATCGGGGGAAAAAAGAAATAGTAGCGAAAAATAAGTTTCAAATCAGGGCGTGCTACATCGATTTCAATGAACAAAGAACGCCAAGCGTTTCGATGTGTTGTGAAAGGAAATAAACATATGCCCGGTGAAAATGGACTTCATGGGATTTATTGAAGCGAAGAGTGTGTTTTTTGGCGTAATGAAGACTTCATTCAATAAATAAGATATTATCAAAGAGAACTCTATTTCTTATTCATTCGCACGCTCGGGATGTCACTCTGCACATAACACGCTCATTGACATCTCTTTTTTCGGGAGTTTCAAGTCATCACAAAGTGTTTTAATCTGCTGATTGTGAGTTCAATGTGGACTATACCATGAACCGTACTCCATATTGTCTTTATTTTATGTCACGCAAATTCTGTACACTACGTGCCTTACGGTGGAAAATGGTAAATGCAAACAAAATCAAAGCGCCAATAATCCACAAAAAAATTTCCAGTTGTGTTCAATACACAGTAGCAGTATATTAGTTTCAAATACATGTTCTACTCGTTCAAGAAAGCAAACAAACCGATTGAAAAAAAAAGAGAGAAAGATACTCTTGTGCTCATTTGATACTATGCGATGGGCAAATAGATGTTGCAATGTATACATTTTATATTTTCTGTGCATTCAACTCACAGTGTTATGTCAATGAGCGTGAGAAAGAGAGAAAGAAAAAGCATTGAAAAATCCCAAGTTAAAGCCTGTCACATACTTCGGTGTCGTCTAGCGTCTAGTCGATTCATAAACACAAAATGACGTCGGACAATTTCCAACTCTCAGTTCCATTTACAACGTTTTTCATTTCGATTTCTGTGCTTGCACTGCGAAAGTCCGTTTTTCAAAAATGTTTGTACACGTTTGATTTTCGTCCGTTTTTTTTCGTCGCTTTTTCTTTGCGTTCATTCTATTACGTGTCGTGAATTCCCCAAGCAAACATGAATGTCTCTTTGATTTCACATCATCTCTCGTATCCGATTTACGTGTTTTAAAAACATTTTTTCTCCCTCCCTCTTTCTGTCTCCTTCACTTTCCGTCATTCGTTCAACTTTTTCAAGAGTGAACGTTTTCATATATTTTGTCGATAATGTTAAATGCCGAAACAGCAAAGCAGAAGACAGGTAACGTACTCTAGTTTTACATTTGCACGAACAACGCTCAAGTAGAGAGAAGAAAAAAAAGATTGAGTGTAGCGTTACAGGCGTTTTCTGTGCAAATGAGTTCACACTTATCGAGTGTGTACGAAAGAAACACCACTTTTGGCAATGCTACAATATCTTTCATGTTATTCTTTGTTGTTGTACGCTCGTCCGCTTGAGCATTTCTCATTCTATGTCATCCTCTCCAAACGTTCATATATCTGAGCGATATAAGTTTTCCATTGAAAGTTTTTAGCAAAGAGATGATGTTTTGAAGAGCTTCTGGGGCGGTAAAAAACACAAGCTGCTGATTTTTCAACATGAAGAACTTTTTGAGTGTTTTAGAGCTATCATAGGCGCGCTTCGTGCCACTTTTTTCCTCTGGACAAAGGCACACACACTCGTTCGCTCTGTCTGTTTGTGTTCAGTCATTAAACAATTGTTTCTCACTCGTCCCAAAAGTCCAACATTTCGGATCATATTTGTTATGATGTAAAAGTTTTTGCAAACGATAGCAATAAGTTTTCTGTATCTGTTAAAGTCACTTACAACAGCAACCGACTCTTCCTCTCGGAATTTTTTTTCTTCTTGTTTCGGTGAATGTCGTAAGCAACCAAGTTTTTTTTAAATTAAAATCTCTTTCTATTATTATCAAATTGGATCACGCAAAGCACTGAAATGCACAACGAATGCGAAAAAAATGTATGCCTAAAGTTCATTGCGCTAAAAGAAACAAACGAAGAAAACCAATTATTACGGCAATAATTTCTGTTTTGATTGAAAAAAAGGAAAAACAAATTTTCGACTACAATGAGTTGTTTTAACTTGACATTTGTTGGCTGTGAATGATTAGATTTACGTCAAATGCATTTACTCTTTGGTTGCACAGCGAAAAGGGCCAAATGAAACTACTTTTGTCTTGCCCCTCTGCCTGTATGTTACTCTGAGGCCCCCACTGACTTTATCGTATTTTTTTGTTTTTTCGCTCATTCTTGATTTTTTTTTTGTTTGAATTCGATTTTCTTCTCATGAACAAACGGTGGAGCAAGCGAGTAAGCGATCGTGCGCTTGTTATGCGCACGAACGGAAACCAAGTTCGCTGTTAAAATGAGTGCGAAATACGAAAATACATAAACTAAAAACACAACAACCAAATTCAATCAAAAGTCTCAAGTTTTTTTTCATTTTGTTATAAAAAATTCAACCAATCTGAGTGAGCGAACAAAAAAAAATTGAGTCTTGGTTTCTGGAAATGGTTTTTACTTTATTTATTTTTTGCAAACTAAAGCGTACAGAGACCATGCTCAAAACGAATATATACACGATGGTTTAGTTTGATTCGAGTTAACTTAACAGAAGGTTTTCTGTGTAAACATAAAAACCCATACACAAACGCTTTCTCTTGCCGTCTCTCAGTGGACTTTTGTGTCTGAAACATTTAAATTCTTTTGACATTTATTTGAAAAGTGAGCACATCAATTGAGACTTGATGAATTTCTACCATGTAAGTGACAGCACCAATTGTTAATTGTATTAATGAATGGCATGTTCATTTCATTTTAAAATTAAATTTATATTTTGTGTCATTGCATTTCAATCAATTCAATCACAGTTGATTTGTGTGTGTTGGGTGTTGCTGTTTGGGCGCATATTAAAAGGTGTCAATTGTCGTTGGTTGTCACCAACTGATATCACAAATCATGACGATAATGTCGACACTGGTATATCAGGTGAATATATTTGCATTCACAAATTGTCTCTTTCTTGTACTTTTCATCCAATAAAATATTCGATTTTCTTTGAAAATAATATCCTCTCGTTTGTTTCTAAAGTGATCGATCCATGGCGACCAAAGAGCTCTGAATACCAATTAAATAAAAAATCGATATCGCACGATGATGACCAAAGCGAGACACGAAAACGATCACGAAAGCGGCGGCATAAAAACCAACGAAAGAAAAAACGTCAACTTGACAACCGAATACGAGCTCATAATTTCGATGCATTTGAAGCGGATTATGTGGATTTTGGTGCCCTTATTGGACAGAACGGTGCATTTTCATGGCATGCAAATTACTCACCAGACTGAGATCAATAAAAAAAGAGGCGACAAACGACGACACGGCTTACAACAAACCGTTTCTCATTATAATATATTTACTTTGTGTATTTCCGTTCACCCTCCACCGTTAATTACATGTTCGTTTTCTATTGCAGCACCATTGTGTATTTTGTAACTGCTCGACAATAAAACTTGGTTCATTGGATTGAAACATTACTCAATATGCTGTGTATTGATTATAAACCCCTTTCAACACTCCTTGTGAATGACTGTATCCACTCGATATAGCAACCAAGCGAACCAATTCATTCGAATATTTCTTACCTAATCTCAATATATGCAAAATACGGAATACAAATGGAATCATTCGAAATCGATTTCATAGAGTATATTTGTTCGGGCATTAAATTCACGTTCATTTACATAAAACAGAATTGGATCCTAGTTTCTACGTGTGCGATTGAAGTTTTGACAAAAAAAATTAAAATAGAACAAAAAAAAAGGATCTCGTTCATTGCATCTAAAATCGGTTCACCGATTCGCTTTGAATTTGGCTTAATTTTAGCATATATTTTTGGAATTCAGTAACACTCATTATTTGAACGCCTTTTCAACTTGCCATGAAGTTTGCCACTAGAGTTCTATTTCAGATTCAACATTGTTGAAAGTTAAGGATTTTCTCTCGCTAACTCTCTGAACGGCATAAGTAAAATTCATTGAACAGTTTTCACAACCACTTTGCTCTTTCAACTTTTAGTTAGAAAATAGTTCAGTAAATTATCAATCAATTAGTTTAAGGGATGCGTGCGTGAACGAAAACCGTACCGCACAGTAAATTGAATTTTGCCCATGAAGTTTATTACATGGTTAAGCATATGCATGATTGTATAATAAAAAGTAATAATTTTATTTTAAAACTTGACAAGGCCACACTGTTTGCTTTGAACGTTTGGATGTTATTGCAGCGATGATGACGGTGGTGGCTGTAGAATTTCAAACAGGGCCAATTATTATATATAAAAATAATCTATTTTGCCAATCACACACATTTCCGCATGGAATATCAAAAGCGTACACGTGTCTATTTTTCATCCAAGAGTAGCGAGACCGTATCGGGAATAGTTAATGTGCATGTGGGTTTGTGTTCTCGATGGAAAACCAACCGACGATAGTCAAATTTAGAAATCGATTTCTCATTTGTCCATGAAATATTTAGCTACCCAAGTGTTTACATGCTTGATAATTTGTAAATTGTTTGTACACTTTTGTTCTGGGAATATTTCTTTTATGGATCAAATGATGAGAAAATAGATGAGTCAACAACATCAAATGGATTTTTGATGGTTTAACGCCGATTCAAGTTGAAAACGGTAAACAAAAAAGTGGAATTAAAGTAGTTGTATACAACGCATACACGGAAAAATAGATTGACATCACTTTTCTATTGGAAATGTTTAAAGTTGAAGAAACAAATTACTGCGCATTTCAACTGTAGATATGTGAATGGTACAGAAATACAAATAGAAAAGAAGAGAACGCGGAAAAAATGTCGACGTCAATTCGTTTTTGGCAAGTGGTGCGCGATATATCGTCCCGAAACGGGAAAAAGTTTTTTGGTATATAATGTAGAGCGAAGATGGTGGTAAAGTGTGCCGTTTCCACCATTATTCTTTGCATTAGTAAAGCACTTGAACGAGCAAACTTTTGAATCTATAAAACAGCTTCATTCGCAAAGAAAAACTATGTGCATGATGGGAGCAATTTTAAATTTCTCTACACACAGGCACGTTTACATATATTTCTACGGTTCATGTTACTGCTATCGTTGTGTATTAACATGTACCGCGTCCACTTTTATATCTTTGGATGAGAAAAAAAGTTTCGGTCGACTAGAGAGATAGAATAAGCGAGAATGTGACATAAGCATAACTAGCGTCTACAAATCATGTGAATTTTTAATGTGCTTAACATGTTGCACGTTAGCAACATGTGCAGAAGATCCCCACAACGGCAGCGGATTTTTCTTTCTTTCTCTTTATGTCTCTCTCACACACACTCACTCTTTATCAATTTTTATTTTCAATAGCAGCGTCGAGTGGTTTGTAAATGACGGTAAGAACGAGAATGTGAGAGAGAGCACTGTAAAACGCATTAAAGCAATTCACCAAATAAATGTTGATACCCACAAAAGAAAAAAAATGCGACACAATATAAATTGAAAGCTAAGCACGAAACAAGCTTTCCACAGCTTTACCCGCAAACAAAATGTAAATTTCCTGTTTGCCGTGTTTAGTAATTTACTGGAATGAATAAAGTTTTGTCGCGTACAGACCTGAATAAGATGCACACAAAAAAAGACAACAAAAGGCACAAAAATCACTCTCTTGTTCACAGGCACGTCGTATTCTTAGTATCTCTGGATAGCACTTTCCAGCATCCATTTAATATTGAGAGGGTTGATTAATGTAACGGCATTAATTACGTGGAAACATTATAATTCAATGTTTCAGAAAACATGCCACATGATAATGACAGACAGACAGACAGAGAGAGAGAGAGAGAGAGAGAGAGAGAGAGAGTAAGGTAAATTCATTACAATAATATTATTGGTTCGATATAGTATTTTATCAGCAACTGGTGAATGATTAATTCCAAATGTGACATTTTCCAAGGCTTGAATTGATGACGGACGTTTTTTTACTGTCGATTAAAAATCAAGAGGATGAAATTTTCATGTGATGCGTTGGCATAGGTCTGATCCTAATCTCAATGCTTTTTCAATGTACGAGATAGATTAAAATTTATTTTCAATAAAACGTCCTACATTAAATGGTATCCTTGAAGAGCTTTTTTGCTGTTGTTTTGGAATGCGATGAGAGAGCGCTCTACTTTACAGAGAAGGAAAAAACGTGTAGCTATTTTAAAACTTTAAAAGGATAAAATCAATCGAGTGGCACATGTTGCCATGGACTTGCATTTCGAAAGCCACTCCGTTCTAGGTTCTGGTCGGATCGGCTCTTGATTATAACAAAATTATGTCACATTGACTGAACGGTACCCACATCAAACTCTTAAAGTCCCGCACTATCTCTCTCTCTCTCTCTCTCTCTCTCTCTCTCTCTCTCTCTCTCTCTCTCTCT